GGGAGTTGAAGTCCACTCATCTTAAAGTGGCCAAGTTTAGACAACACTGCCATAGACAGAGGTTCTGGTGAGTTATTGGTGTTTCCACGAAAGCAGAAAAATAACTTACAGCAGCCCACATCATCTCAAAAATCTTTTGCTTCAGTGTAACCTCTGCTCCCAGCGGAAAGGAATCGGTTCACCACAGCTTTCAGTTCCATGTCCCGTCATGGTGGCGTGTTTAATTCAGTAAAGGAACCCAGATGCACTTAGAAGGTTGGAAAGTAATACAGGAGCCTTGAGCCAGTTTGGTACAGTGGTTAAGGCTCCAGGCTAGAAACCAGGAGACTGTGAGTTCTAGTCCTGCCTTAGGCACAAAGCCAGCTGGTGATTTTGGGCCAGTCCCTCTCTCTCAGCCCTTAGAAGCAGGCAATGGCAAACCACTTCCAAAAAATCTTGCCAAGAAAACTGCAGGGACTAGTCCAGGAAGTCGCCAGGACTCAACAATGACTCAAAGGCACAAACAAACCAAAAGCCCAGGAGCCTTAGCAGAGTCAAAAAAATCAAGATGGCAGCTACAACTGTGCAATGGAAGCCCCACCCCTTTTTACATGCATTGTCCATATGGCACATATAAAAATGTGGTGGGGCTTCCATTGTTTGGTTGTGGTTGCCATCTTAACTTTTTTGACCCCCCTCGCAGACAGCACTGAGGTGATAGAGGCTTGCCACCATAATGATCACAGAAACAATATGTAATTTTTTAAAAAGTTGTTTTTGGTGAAGTGGGAGGGATGTGTGTCTGGGGATATGGGGGCATAAGATTAGGCTGGTGATCAACTGTACACTGATTGCCAACAGCCGTCTGGCCTCAACTATTGGCCAGAAGGGGCAAGTCCTGATTGGCTGGTGGTTCTGCATAACCTCCTAGACTAAGTAACATGTGAACATACCTGTTGTGGCCTGATAGCCAAAGAAATCCAAAAATAGCTAGAACAGCTGAAATGTGAAATCAAAAGGGACAAGAGAAAATCTGATTCTCTGGAAGTTCTCTAAAATTGCCACCTATACCCTTCGTCTTGTTTCTAGGCTATAAGACTCATTGCAAAACACTTAATTGCTTAATTGCATACTGCTTCAGTCAGATGTGGCTCTGAGTGGCACACAGTCCAGTAATCGGATTAAAGCAGTTAAGTCTAACAAAGCAAAAAATAACTGGAACAAAACCAAAACCACCCACAATAATCATTAATCAAGTGTCCTAATTCCCAACATTCCCTGGCACTTTTAGGAGGCATTTGACTACTCATGCCAACAGAAGAGCCAGAAGCGCCAAGAAACCATCCATGGTGACATCTTGGGGTTTAGCCATATGGATGGGCTGGTGGTTGGAAGGGAGGTTAGGAAAGCAAACCTGGATATGATGATGATGATGGATGGGCTGGAACAGCTGGATTTACCAAAGTTGTTGCTGCAGAAGCCATAGTGTCCACAGGGAGGGGGTTCAAAGCGGGACAGAGTGAAGAAAACAGCATTGCAGTGTCACAGCATAAAGCCTACCCCTTTTCTATATGCAACTTGATGTGGCACTCATGATCTAAAGAGGCAGAGTTGTGGCATGTGAAAAGCAGTGAGCCTGTAGATCAGTGTTTCTCAACCTTGGCAACTTGAAGATGTGTGGACTTCAGCTCCCAGAATTCCCCAGCCAGCCATGCCATGCGAAACCCTCGAATTAAGCTCAGGGCAGCATTATTTCTGTTAAATC